AGAGAGAGAGAGAGAGAGAGAGAGAGAGAGAGAGAGAGAGAGAGAGAACACGGAGTTCGTTCCGCGCTCTCTTGCCTCGCGCAAGATCGACAAAGTGATCGCTATCTTGATAACTCAGTCAAGCAATCTCGATAGAACATCTCCTTCTCTAAAGCGGACATCTAGTTATGAATACAGATGGTAAATTTAATTAAACGCTAATCGACATTGAAAAGCTTTAGTTGTACTTTGCATAATTCTAATTAATACTAGGAGAGAGAGAAAGAGAGAGAGAGAGAGAGGGAGAGAGAGAGAGAAGATGGCGATGATGTTTCTCAATGAGTACAGCATCTTATCTGATTCTCAGCTCTTTTTAGTTTTTATCAGAGTCTTGACATTTTTTGGGCTTTAATGAATTAGAATTACCAGTTTTTAATTTCATTCAATACAAGAGAAATTTCTAAACACTATCGTCGTAAATATTTCTATTAAAGATTTGCTCTTAAATAGGATAATCACAAATTATATAGCAAAATTATTTCGCAAGTAGCCAATATTTTTTTTTTTTTTAGAAAAATTTTTAGGTTTAAATAATTGCTTCTATCGTAACGAGTTGCAACTGCTTCTTAAGACATTATAATTTTACAAATTTACGTAATCTCTCAAAAGCTTGGGATGGATGGAAAAATCAGAACGGTGGCGCCGAAAATGTCTTCATCTTCGAAGCACAGCACCGATAAAGGCGGGTAGATGATGGGGTTATAAACTCCCGCCGTATAGTCCGCGACTGCACGACTGGAAATGGCTGATCGCCCCATCGGAGGGGTAGTCCCTCAAGCGCGAGTCTCTCACGCGGGGGTTAAAGGCGAAAGGAGTCTGGCGCTGGTGATCGTAAAAGCACCGTCGGTCGGCGCGATACCCCCCGACAGCTTCTCCAACTTGTCGATAAATACTTTCGTCTTTCCGGATATTCAGAAGTCCGGCGAGACGATCGGTCAAGTTCGAAAAGAGTGTTGGGCAGTAAAGGCGGGAAAGCACTAAGCCGCGATAAAAATAACGAGGAGCTCAGATTTATATCGCGGAATTCATTTGTGCGACCAGCTAATTCGACGAGCTTATCAAAACCGGAAGCCAGCCACGGTGAAACAAAGGGAAAGATTCGTGCCGGTCTATTAAGCTTTATTCCGTCTGTTATACGGTCATTCGGACTGCGGTATTACGTCGCATCGACAACACAAGCGAAACTTATACGCTATATATACCAACTATCCGATGGATGCGGGTCTCTTTTTTCGCGGATTGATATTGAAAGGGACATGTTGTGGGTGGAAGCAACGAACGCGATATGCGTCATGAAGGCGAGCTATTTCTTTCTGGCAGTAAAGAATACATCGCTTACATTTCCACGTTATAAATTTTTGGATGTTAAAGCGTCCGGTGCACATGTCAGATGTCCAAGTAAATTGAACGTAGCAGCTGGATGATAAATGTCTTGCAATTTTATGACTTGCCAAAATGTCATAAAGCGTTATAAAAATAAACTATTCATAACTCGATTTAGATATATGTATATGTATAGACAGGTACAAAACGTCCATTTTTTTAATAAACGAATTTCTAGATATACATATTCACCATGTGGCTGAAGATCTTTGTGCTCGATGGTCCTATAATAATATCGTCAGAAAAAAATGGATTTTTATGATTATTTCTCTGTCCATTTAAAGGCTAACAATCTGCGACTCTGTTTTAGAAGGGCGACTTAACGAAACGATAAAATGCCGTGGCGCAAGTTTGAGAAAGTTCTTCGAAGTACTTCGCGTCAACTTCCGCCTGTCTCGTTCGCGATATAACGGCCGTTTTAAAGAAGCCATTTTTATTTATCACGCCGTCTTCCGTGTATGTATTTCGACTGAAAGCATCCTTCGGCGCGCGCTCGTCTCGCCGACTCGCGCATCAGGAGACGAAGACGAAAGGAAATTGTTATCGCTTCGCGACACGGGTATACTCTCGTATTAGGGTAGAAGCTTTTCGAAATTTTTCGGAAGATTCGGCTACTATACCCGTAGCCGATTCAATTTGCCTAATGAAGAAGGCAGGAGGGACGACGAGGAACTATAAAGCGCGGCTTCTATGATTCACTCTTCACGAATTGATTTTTTCGTGTATAGTATTCTCTTATTCTCTTACATACATACGGATAGTAAGGTAGTATAGATGCTATCTCGCTGTGCAAAAGACAGAGACTGCTATATATATCGAACAAGACAGTCTCCCTATATAATTTATGCGGAAGAGCACTTAAGTCCGCGGGAAAAATTCGAACAATCCTAATTGATTTACAGATGTATTACTATTATTATTGAATAGAAAATCTCCTAGCATCAAAATTTCTCTTCTATTTACAACACTGTTCGATAATTATATTATTTTTTAAATTTTTATTCGTAAAACGACGTAACGAAATCAATTATTTAATAATACAAGATTCTTATTTGATTCTATAATGCGCGACTTTCTCTCTTTCTTTCTCTTTCATGTGTTGCTATTTTATTATATAAATCACGTTATTCTTTCTGTTCGCAGAATTCTATACGCCACAACTTGTCGCTGCACAGCAGGTTCATGCGAGTACAGAACGAGGGAACTGGTAAGAGTTCTTGGTGGATGATCAATCGCGACGCCAAGCCGGGAAAATCCGCCCGTCGTAGGTAAGTCCAGATTGCCGACAATTTGCCTCTCTTTCTGTTTTTCCGTCTCTTTTGACCGCGAACTGTCGAGAGCGCTGTGTGTATCATATTTGTTGCGCAGAGCTACCACTATGGAAAGCACCGGAAGTTTAGAGAAACGACGCGGCCGTTCGAAGAAGATAGCTGAAGCCCTGAGGAACGGCGGACTGTTAGCCGAGCCCACGTCCAGTCCCAGCAGCAGCGTTGGAGAGGGTCTAGACCTATTCCCGGACAGTCCCTTGCCGTCCGCCAGCGGATACCAGCTCTCCTCTGACTTCCGGTACAAAGCTTTAATATTTTCGTTTAAAAGTAAAATATGAAATTTGCAAAATACGAAGATTTATAGTCGATAAGATATTTTGAACTACATATCCCTTTTTAATGGACTGTCATGTCAGTTGATATATGAATCGAGTAATATCAGAACTGACCAAATCAAGTTTTTTTTTTAATTTCGAAGGAATTTGATACTTGCAAGTATTAGTTACGGGAATAGAATAGTGGTTTTAATAGTTTGGCAATATACGATCAAATGTAGAATATAGAGTTAGATATTATATGTATACAGTATACGCGCGCGCGCGCGCGCGCATACATTTATATCATAAAGAAATCTTTATTATACATGTGTAAAATTAGAAAGATATTAGTTATAAATCTCAAGAATAAGCTTAAGGCGAAATTAATTATTTTTATTATTCAAGTCCTCGCGCTTCAAGTGCTTCTTCCTGTGGCCAACTGAGTCCTATTCGAGCGGTTCTCGGGGAACCAGATTGGACCTACGCTGTCAGTCCGGAACAGCAACAGCAACAACAACAGCAACAGCTAGGTATATGTCTAATTTCGCTTTCTCTTATCCCTTTTTCCCTCTCTTTTCTTGTATATCTTGATATTTCTAGAATTTATCTTCTAAAGTTGTACTTTCTAGCCATATTAAACAGCGTTACATGTATATAAGTTGCATATTATATTACTGCATAATTTATTTAAATTATACTTTATATAATTAGTATAATTTATTTATATTATACTAATTATATAAATATGGTTAATAACTGTATCAATCCTAATTGAAATTAGAGATAAAATAAACTTTTTGCTGTTCATTTATCCACGTGTCCGATAACACGATTAATACGTCGTGCATCATGTTCGATCCTAGCAGGCAACCTAGCAGATACGATGCTAGCAGGGAACCTAGCAGATACGCTGCTAGCAGGCAACCTAGCCAAGACGATGAAACTGGAACCCTACCAAATGTACCCGACATCATCGCCGGCTAGTCACCAGCAGCAAACGGTCCCGCCGCCGCCTTATTACGATACGCAGTACCAGAGCCACCAGAGGAACAACGGCCTATGCACTTCGTCGTCCGCGTCCTATGGCCTGCCACCTACTCCGCAGTCGGTTAATCAGCAAAGATGTCCGATTCACGGTCTGCAGTCGTGCGCCTGTCAGATGGTGAGTCCGAAATTTTTGGCGGATTTTTCGCGCGAGAATACCACAACTCTCCACAAAGGAGGACGTCAGCGTTTTTATGTTGCGCATGTTCGGCCTGGCAATGTTGCAAAATCAATAAGGATCGCAATATATGTTTTACACAAACACGCACATACACACAGGCAAACATGTACACGAAATGTCTATGCTTCTATGTGGCTTAGAGAGAAAGGATATAACGTTAACCGCGATGATAGCCAAGATGATTAATAAATATCATTTTTCAAAATGAATTATTTATTGAGATTAATTAAATTATAAATACGACCTGATTGAAAAATTATTATCGAAGGAGTCGAGAAATCTTTTCTTCATGGAAATTCAGCTCGTTATTTTCCACGACGTCGATATTTTTACAATAATATTTTTGTTGTCTTGTGCGAAAAGATTTGCGATGGTGCGATGGAAGCTTATTTACATTTTATTATTGAAACTGGCTTAAAAAAGCATCATACGCTTATGGAATTGTATTGGAACGTATTTTCGATAACGGTACAAATGCAAACACATCCGGGCCAAACTCAGAACAATCTGTCTAATTGATCAATTTTCACGAGATTGAATTTACTAAGATTAAATTATGCTAAAATTTATTTACTTTCATTTATGTTAATTATAATTAATTATTTTATTGCTGTGTGATATATCCGTCATATCTTTTTCAACAAAATTCATGTATTTGTCCTAGAACAGATCAAAACATGATATTTTCAATTTTCTGAGATTCGTTATATTTCTTACAAATTACGACAGAGAGATATAAAGAATAAGCAAATATAGAAAACTGTGATATCTGTACGAGGAAAAATATAAATAGTACTATATTTTTTATCGCAAATAGAATAGAAACATATTTATATTTTATTTGTAAATCGTTGTTGATCAAGAATATTTGTATCATCAATTACATGTTATAAGAAATTATATATGTTGCAGGCATAATACAAAATCAGGCATTTTATAAAATGCTTATAGGCATTTTACAATAAGCCGGCATAGCTCCGTGTGTGTACTTACTTATAATGCATCGCATAGGTTTCGCTTAGATATTTGAGAAATATAACACTTTGTGTCAGTGCTAAGGGAAGTAACTGATATGTATGTATAGATATGTGTGTACAGTACACATGTAAAAAACTAATTTAACTCCAAGCCTATTTCAACTAAATTTCAATTTCAAGTTTTTAGGAATAGGCTTGGAGTTAAATTAGTTTTTCTATGCGGGGGAGGGGCGGAGCCCACGCATATATTTACAATTTTTTATTATATAATATACAAGAATCATTTCTAAACTTTTATTTCTTATCTAAAACTCTCGTTATGCCGGCTTATTGTAAAATGCCTGATTTTGTATTATGCCTGCAACATATATAAATGCAAATTGTTACGATCACGCTTTTGTCTTCATCGCGCATTCTTTTTATAAATTCAAAAATTAGAACCTGAGTCCCATGTCACCATCTGGCATGTCACCGTCGTATCAGCAGAGCGAGCCCAGTCCAACACTGGGCAGCAATCAACAGCAAACGCTGCAATACATGATTCAGACACAGCGTCAACAACAGCAGCAACAACAGCAGTCGCAGCATCAGCCGGCACAAACTGGACCGGCCGGTCCTAGCCCACCCAACACGCCAACACCCTGCCCCGCCACAGCCAGCACTATGATGGGTCAGCTGATGGGTGCGCTCAATCATTCCGCCCTCGATGATCTTAACATCAACATCGAGGCGATGCACGGCGGCTTCCACTCCACTGTTGATGAAGTAAGTCTGATCATGCTCCGTCTGTTACTACTGATATTGCCATGGCTACGTCTGTTACTACTAATACCGTCACGAATAAGTTTTTAAGAAACTTGCATAATTTTTAAATTAGGGAAATTATTTCTCATCCGCGCGAGCATTCTGAGATTTCCCAAATTAAATCTACAACAATTTGTTGTAAAAAATAAAATATAAATGCGAAGAGTTTCTCAGTTGAGATTCCTAACTGTTACGCAAAATCTATCTCAATCGTCACACAAACTATTAATCCTTAGCTGAATAATTTTATTTACCAAATCTATAGTAGAGTAATATTATTAATTTTTATGAAATTATCTTAGAAGAAAGATCTTATATGCACGGAAAAAATTGCTGTTTAATTAATTAATTAAAAAAAAAAGAAAAAAGAGAGAAAAAAAGTTGCTTCAATTAAACGTCGATGTCACGGGCTTCCACAAACATAAAAAGTTAATTCAAATGGATATTATTGGGCTTTTGAATTATTAAAACACCTATCTGTTTTTTGTTCATTAATATTGATGTTGCATCAATAGATTTCATCTCGATTACACTGATGTTGATGATATACAATATCATTTTTTTTCCGTGAGCGCAAATACGTGCACTTTAGTAAGACGAAAATTTCGCAGACATTATTAGATAGTTAAAAAAATAATTCTAGTTTAAATTCTGCAAGGGTTTAATAAATTCATGTTACCGGATAAGGATTGTTACAAGAGGGAACGTTGCTTTGTAACATGTACGTATAAACGCGCGATTCGATACGTAAATTGCAGGTAATTAGGCATGAGCTGTCGATGGGTGGCACGCTGGACTTTAACTTCACGCAGGGAGTGATGGGCACCGTGCAGGTCAGCGACGGCAATGTCGTTGGCCAGAATGGTGGCGTCGTCTCTCAGAACACGGGCGTCGTCATCGGCACGACGACCGGCAACGCGCCGGGTGTCTACGTAAGCACGAATGCGGCAGCCCCCGCCGCGACCCCCTCGTGGGTTCACTAGCAGTTAACCCCCCTGCCCTCAACACCCCCGTCGTCCTTGCCGATGCCGCTGTTGTCCGACGGATCGCTGGATAACTTCTGCGGGATGACCGAAGGGCAGCTCATCGGTGAGTTCCTTGAGTTTGAATTTCTTGATTTTCAAGTTATCGCTTGTAATCACAATTATATATCGAGACATAACATCGATAGATTAAACCGTGCAGTCGTTGGTCGCCCGGATTTCGATTCGGGGCAAGGTTCGTGCTTATTTCTTAGGGAAAAATTATAGAAGAATTATAAATTTAACTATAATTCGGTGATAATAGATTTAAGCAGAGTTTAATTTATAGCGACTCTACATAAGATCATCCATGTAAGATTTTCTAAAAATTTCACTCATTTTTTACATTTATCACTAGTTTATTTCTGAAGCTAATGATGAAAAAGGATTCACTACCGTGACATATTGTAATCATTTCACATTAAGACCAAATGAGTGATCATTAACTCGATAATTCGTTCTGCTTTGTCGACTTTCATAAACAGAATAACTCCGACTAATTTCTAGGTAATAGCTTCACTTAATGCATTACGTAATCGTGAAATAAAGGAAAAACGTAAATCTATGTCATCCATCTGTTAGATGTAGAGTCCGCGAATCGATATATCACACACACACACAGACGCGCGCGCGCGCACACACACACCCACACACATTCTCACGTGGCTGATTAATCATCCAGAAGTTCACTCGGGATCTTTCGTGAACTTTCTCTCACGTCGCGTTTTCGATCATGAAACTATGAAGGGAGGAAGATATCCGGCGGATGCAAAGGGAATGGAGGGCAGAGAGAGCGGGTCATTGATTGCCCCCTCGTGCACGCAAAATAATATTTGCATACTCGTGTCATAACAGTGCTCAGCCGTATGGTATTTAATAAATCGCTTCGACGTTTTGTGCCTCCGTCCCCCGATCCTCTCGGCCCCCCGTACCCCTGCCTTCCACCATTTCGTACGTGCCGACACATTCATATAGCGGCAACCCGTATTCCGACGGTGTTTTGTGCGAAATCGCTATTGACTTGGACGCGATAACAATTACATCGCCGCGGGCCGCGAATTTTATGGAAAGCCTTAACACAATATTGCTGATCGCGATCATACGAAAACAGTCGCATTTTGTTTGACGAAGAAGCGAAGCGACGAGCAATTATGCGTTCGCGAAAAAACACTCGCGCGGGGCCTCGATTTTCTCGCGAGGACCGAGTAACACGCGTTCACACGTCGTCACGTTTAGCGATAGACGCGAGTTCTCCATTTCCATGACGTACTTGCGTCCAAATGTAAATTTCATAGTAGATAAGAAAAAAATGTAATTGATGGATCAGTAGATCTGGCCCGAACAGCGTATTGATAATAGTTAGTAGACAATACTTTTGAGAAGAGTAGCTTAATTCTTAGTGTTTAGAAGAAAGTTACAAGTTATATGTTACAAAGAACTGTATAGAAGTGTAATCAGAAAATTGGTTTCTGGAAATAAAATTAGCAGATGGAAAATATGAAAAGTGTACCTGTGTTTTTAATACAACTCACACATTAGAAAATAAAATTGTTTTAAAAGTCAAGCTGAAGAAACAATTCACGAATGGCTCGACTGTTCACGCGCTTACGAGACGATAATCCCTTCTATATACATCATTTCCTAGAGTATTTTGTTTACGGCGTGCTTAAATATTCACGTCGCTTTGCAGCGACCTTGGACAATTTACACGAAATTACACTGGCAATCGCGTCCAGATAATGCGATCTGTCTCTTTCTGCAACGGAGTATTCTGCATACATGAAGCTTGCGATCAAAATTAAAACGTTTTCACGTTCTTTACGTCGATTCCTTTTTTTTTTACACCTCGCTCTCTTTTTCGTTAACGGAGGAAGAGGAGGAAGAGCAGGAGGAGAAGGACGAGGTAGAAATGTAACGTGATTTCTCGGAGAAAATCGTTTTTGCTGTTAGTATATCGCAATAAAGCGACTAAAATAACTGCCACTTCGCTATCGGTGCCTTTTAATCTTTAATACACGCACAAAAGTGCAATGTAATTATATATAGCTTTATCCTACCATCTCGTCTCGTTGTCCTCGTCGTAATCATCATTGTCGTTGTAACATTAATGAGGATAAAAATGTCGTACAAATGCATGGATAAACGTTCGACGATATTAATCACACGCTAGTAATCGCGTTCTGGCGTGTGCTTTCCGGTAGCCAATTGCAACTGACTATGGATGTTGGCTTCCTCTGTGCAATCTGCGTAGTTGCGTGATCGACGCAATAATGTTTTTCGAGTGTTACAAAAAGAACCGTCGAGAGAGAGAGAACGAAACGCAACTGCCCACGATTCATTGACAAACCTATAACGGTTCTCAAATCATTACAATTCTTTAAACAATGAGATAAAAAATATGAAATTAAATAATCAAGGATTAAGTTAACAAAATGAAAAAAATTAAACAAAACATGATATAAGAAGTCGATAAAATTAATGAAACAGAATTTATATATAAGAATTGAATATAAGCGTATAATTTCATGCTTACGCTCACATTTTCACTCATTCATGCGACCGTCAACTATGCTGATCTCATTTTCGTCGGCCGCCGATTTTTCTTGATCTTGCACATCATCGTCGAGCGCGGCAGCAAAGCGCAATGCGGCAAGCAGGCAAGCAGACAGCGAGAAAAAATGACGCGAGCGTTTGGCCACGCGAGCGGATCATTTTTTCCGTCCGGACAACCTCTTTTGGCGATTGCACTCACATGACAGCCTACTTTGTTGTCCCTACGGGCGCGGATATTATTTACACGGCGGAATATCGGCCCGAGAGAGATATTAGCTTTCAGAAAAATATTTTTCAGAGTGGCGAACGCGCACGAGCGACGAAAAAATACCGCCCCCGGGCTTACGCCCCGGTATATTAACGCCTCCGGCCGTTCCAGTAGTTTGTTGTGCGTATGAAACCGGTATGCACACCGATCTCCGTTAGTTTCGAGGGGAATCGATGTCTTTTTGTTTCCTCTCTCTTCCTTCCTCGCTCTCTTTCTCTCGCATCCCCTCTCTCTTCCACTCTTTCTCTCTTTATTTTTTTTCGTCCGACTGTATATCCATTTACCGTCTGGCGGAAAGGGCATAAATTCGAGGGTTTGGATAAAACCGATACCGCCGCCGCAACGAGCGAAGCGCAACGCGACGCGTAAGAAACGCGCTTCGAGGCACGGACGTTTCAACGTGGCGGCGATGCTGCCGTGACGGTGACAGGAAAAATTCCGCGGTAATTCTTCGCGTAGCATGGAAAAATTTCTCCCATCGTTTGAGAAAATATTTTCAATCATTTTTACAGGCTAAAATTCCCCCTAAGGCGAGTAGCGGAAATAAATTTATTGAGCTTGAAGTCTGAGATTCGATCTGTGATAATTGGCACTTTATCCTAAAACGTATGTTTGCTTTATATAATCATTTAATATCACTAACCGCAAATCAGGGTAAATAAAAATTTTCATTCCGTTTTCTATATTCAACACCAATGACGAAACGTCATTTTCTCTCAAGCAACGGATAACGAGAAGAGGGTTGATAACGTGATAATCTGAGAATCGCTTCGTTTTATCGAGCGCGACGATAAAGGAATGAGGAGAAGTCCGGCCTTATCCCGCCATCGCCCTGTAAAACTACTCGCGAGAGTAGTCTCGGCCACGGAGCGGAAACTGCGAAACTACGAGAAGCGTCCCTCATTAAATGAGAGCGCGCTCGGCGAAACTTTTGTCGTCCGAAATAACAATGGAGTCTCTCGAGCGCCGGATTATTTCGAGATCACACGGTACATGACTGTAATTGAACGACTTCCGGTCGGCGTCGCGCTAATGGAGAACAGATTTTCGGATCCGTGCCGCTCGTAAACTCGCGGTCGAAACTCGAAACTCGCTCGCTCCCGATCAGTTCCTTCGCGAAAACTTCCCAGTTAAAACAAAAAAGCACCAAGGAAAGAGAGAGAGAGGGGGAGGGAAAGAGCGACGCGCGGGAAGGAGAAGGCGGACAGAAGGGGCGAAGAATAGGAACAAAGTGGGCAGATAGGGGGAAGACCAAGGGATGCAACGATAGATCGAGGTAGAGAGCATGTAGGTTGCGGAATAAGGGAGGACGGGTCGCGCTCGCCTGACAAGGTTGGATGGCAAGGGAAGAAGTCTTTTCTTTCTCCTGTCCCCCTGCTCCCCGTCTCTTTCTCTTCTCTCCTCCACCAACTTTATAATTCTTGCGACGCTTTTGGGGAATGAGATTGTCGGCGGCAGGGGCGGACGGAGGCGGCCAGGGGGTGGCCGGGCTTTAAGGTAGTCCGCTGGCGCCAGTGACGTCTGCCGAATAGCTGCTGACTCCCAGACTCCTGCAGTTTCGACTAAGTGGTTCCCTTTTGCCCCACTTGAGCGTTTGTGAGCGCACACCTTCTTCCTCCACACCCGCGGGAGCGCGCCTATCGACGACGAAGGCTGATGAATACTCGATTTTCTATCGACCGCGGAAAGAGAACCATAGGGCGATTTAGGGGCGACAAATACGTTAAAGCTTTTTATTAAGAAGATTTCAACCTTGTAGGTCAAGGTTTAGTCGCTCGCATATGTGATGAAAGATTGCTCTTTTTATACGTGAATGAGAGAAATTTTCATCTTGGAGGAATCCGGAAATGATGAGTATTAAACTTTATGAATTGTTTAAGCTTTCAATCGCTGAGAAACTTATCGTATTACGGAAAGATAATATAACCGTTTTTTCTATTGAAATAGGCATTTTTTAATACTTAATAGCTAAGAAGATACTAACAGTAAGTAATAAAAGAAATTTAATGTTGGGCAATATGAAACATCGTATTTGGATCTGTTAAATAATTTAATAGTTTATCAATAAAAGTAAGCTACGTTAAAAATAGTTTAACATAGATAACTAAATTTAACATATGCTTACTGTAAAATGTACATTAGAAATGATAAGTGGAGAACAAAAACTTCATTTAATGGTTAGCGACATCGCGTTGCGATTTGGATGAATCGATTACGACAAGAGAAACGTGCCACACGTGTCAAAA